GTTTGCCGATTTTGGCGGGAAAACGACAACACAGTGACACCCACAAGCCTGCGACGCCTCTAAAATGTAATGGGGCACAACAAAAAAACGAAGGAGTGCTGTAGTCAAGGATGCCCGACTAGAAGATACCCTTTTATACTTATACAAATCTCAGAAACTTATAATCGACATATATCCATGAGAGAAGTAATCTGTCTGATTGGCGTCCACACAGAAAAATGGAAAATCAAGTGGTATATTTAGAATGTTTATTTAGGATATTCCTCTTCTTAAACTCATACTATCAATATGCCCAAATTTATCAATATTTTTAGTAAATACAGGGAATAAGAAAGTATATTTTAATTCTAGGTATCGAAAATTGAATATCCTTATAAAAAAACGAAGCAATATTGTAGTATTTGTTTACCTAGCCCAATTTTGCAACGATTATAATGTTCTTCCATGTTTCATGGAATTCGAATTCCATAAACGAAGTATAAGGAATCTCAACTAAAAGATATACTTAGTAAACAAAGCTGGCCGTTGCAGATATTTAATCTGCAATGAGATGAAACTATGCACCTTTATTAATCTAAGAAGTTCAATGACATATATTCAACTATAGAAAAGTCTGTTTTTTTTTAATAATCATTTTTTATGGGCAGTAATCGTTAGCACGGATTCTATTCTATAAATTCAATTAATTTATATTGGCAAGTGTATTCACGTTTCGGGGTGCCAAAGGCAGCCGCTTCTATGTGTGTTTTTTCTATCGCTCTGTTTTTGGGAGCGCGCGGGCAACTTATGTGGGTGCTTAAGTGAACCATTAGCGCCGCGCGTCATTAAGTTGTTTCCGCTTCGCGCATTTCTTCTACTGTTTTCTCCGTGCAGGCTGGCAGGCGTGGGCGTGGGAGTAGGCCCAGCTCTGCTGCCAGACTGCAACAGCTTCTCCCATGAGGATGCTAGGAAACTGCTGCTGTGGCATTGAGGCACGTACTCGCGTTCGTATCGAGGCTTGTAGGCCACATCATTAATGGTTATAGACCAAGCAGGAGTAGGAACATAGTCTTGCCGCCTTTGCCTATTTTTATCTTTCTTTTTTGTTGCCTACCCATTGCGGTTCATTGACCAGCCACTGAAAAGGCATCCGCCTTGATTTATATGCTACGGAGTTTGTCTGTTCGTTTAGTGCCTGCTCGTAATCATTTTAAGTAGGCTCAACATGTTTTAGCTGCCCTTCCTTTTCGACGTAATTAAATGTGGCTTGCAAATTGACGGGCCAAGTGCGAGCTGGGCAGCTTCGTGAGGCCAAACACCAGCTGTGTCAAACGCAAAATTCAATTAAACGCAAATCAGTGCAAAAATCACATGAACCGACCGTCATCATGAACTGACCAAAGCCCAGCGCCAGCATCAGCCGCCTGTGCCCAGTTTCCGCAGCAGGCAAATAGCCGGACCTGGATATCATCGTTCTGTTGTTGGCTTCTCTCCATTGCACCTTTGGCCGGGCCAAGCGGCACTTAAACGCCAACTAACCAAAGCCCACCCACACACACATTGGCAGAGGGTGCCACAATCAGCTATGCAACGGTGCAACGCGTCGTATGCATGTTTCGCTGTTTGTTGATGGCAAATAAAACCAATTGGGGGCGTGGCGGATCTGTAGCAGCGCAGGCCATTACCAGTTTAAGTGGATTTGATGAGCGTTTATGTGTGCCCTGTGCTGCAGTGGCTCTCACTGCAGCGCGCACGGCACGTTCTAATTATGACAACGTGACGGCCAGCCGAGCCCTGGTGCAGGTTCATTTAAATGCTTTACGGTAGTTGGCTCAAAATACAAGTTACAAATTTCAATAATTAAATCTAATTTATAAACAAATTGCCACGTTCAGCTAAATGGAATTTTAATGTAATTTGTCAATTGGCAATATGCATAAATATTTAAAAACAATTTTTTTTATGGTTCTTTATGGCTAAGGTCGATTACTTAGCACTGTGTCTGTTCCTTTGCAAGATTCCTCGAATATATGAAAACTATTATATATTCTTGTAGATCATAAAGCACAGCTAAACTATGTTTACAGTTAAACATACCAAACTTGGTAGGCAATCGAATGGCATATACTGAATAGTTCACGTTTGGAATACATTTCATCCGAAATTGGACAATACTACTGGAAAGTGGAAGCACAGCCGCAGCGTCAGATGAAAAGAAAGATCGACGCTCCCTGTCGCTCCATCACGATTAGATCTTACTTAGCTCTTTAATCTATTACTTCCTTATCGAAGCTTCTACTTTGCTTGTTGCTCGAAGCAACACTTACTGGGCAAGTTCTTGTTATTTAACAGAGTCTTAGTCAAATTGACCGTGATTAGCGTTTGGTTTAGATCGCCGATGTGGCTGGTTCAAAACCAACAAATTGGCTTATCACACATCCCCCGAGGGGCGGGAGATGGGACGGCTACTGCATTTGCATGTTTATTGTGTGGTAGCTTTATGGCTGCCATAGCAATAATTAAGGCTTATTTACAAGCTCACAATCCACGGCGCACAGGCGATTACAACAACAACAGCAATGACGACAACAATTAGAGCGCTTACAGCAACAGCAAGCGGAACATGCAAGGACAACAACAGCAGCTCACCTGTCCGGCAACATATTGGCAAACAGTGCAAGCGACACAAATTTTCCACTATAGCTAACGAAGGATGCGACGTACGTGTGTGTGTGTGTGTGTGTGTGTGTGTGTATGTGTATCTGTGTGGGCATTTGACACCTCATATTGGTAATTATTTGCATCTGGGTGGAACGCACAATATACGATTGAAACACTGGAAGGGGCGGGATGCACATCGATATACTTAGTACAAGTTAGAGTAAGCTAGTCGGCAGTGCCCGACTCGAAAGTACTTTGTACCCAGCGAATAGATGGAATAGATAGTCAAACCCTTTTGAAATTCTTCGTATACTTATACACAAGCTGGCCTTAAACTATGCACGACAGGCGGCGGCTATGTTTATTCTTCTCTCAGCCAAAAATTATTCATTTCTAGCATCGTTGTCTATACTCCGATCCTTACAGTATATTTGCAGGTCACAAACATAGCACCCAGCTGTGTGTATATAACAAAGCATTAGTCTCTACCTTTAATAATGAATCTTTTCCATTTCGGAGGAAATTGAGGAAGGTATCCATTATGTGAGATATTAACACCTATTCTACATTCTGCTCCAAATCCAAATGTATGTAACAGGCAGAAGAAAGCATCTCCGACCCCATAAAGTATATATATTCTTGATCAACACCAATAGCCGAGTCGATCTAGCCCTGTCCGTCTGTCTGTCTGTCCGTCTGTCCGTCCGTGCGTCTGTCCGTCCGTCCGTCTGTCCTTATATATATGAACGCAAAGATCTCAGAACCTATAAGAGCTAGAGACTTGAAATTTTAGATGTAGGTGCTCCTAGTGCCAGCGCAGATCGAGTTTGTTTCCGATAATCGATAACTTACTCCGTTTCCAATCAATTGATAAAAATATCGTGTATCGATATCGTGTTTTTTGGGCAATTTTGGCAAATAATAAGAGCTAGAGTCACCAAACTTGACATATAGTTTCTAAAATATATATTTGATGTTGGAAGAAGAGGGTTCAGGGTATCCCCTAGTCGGGAGCTCCAACTAGAACCTCTTACTTGTTTTATTTTATTGAGAACCCGTGGATGCATCCAAAAAGAAAAATTGTTTTTACAAACGATTACCAACGTATCAAGTTTGGTGTATCTAGCTCATAAAATATCCGAGTTAGGATTAAATGATGATGTTCAAAATCGATTATTATCGATATAATCTAAATGGCAGGAGATGTCAAGAGAAAACAGACGGACTTTCGACCTTGACTAGATGGATTCAGCTCATCTCCTTCCTTTCATCCGTTTGCTACATAAGTATTTAAAAAATAATTATATCCCTTTTACCCATTCTCAACACGAGGTATAAAAAGTCTTGGAACCAGAGAGAGAGAAGTGTATTCAGGCGTTGGCTAACCTTTCAAATGCTTTGATTAGCTGCACTCCTAACTCTTGGGAGGGAATGGAAGTCGTGGTATTCGCAAAGGACTGACCAGGTGCCGAGGTGCATTCCAATGCAGCTAAACTCAACCGGGCTGAAGAGAAGGGAAAGCTGATGTGAAATGCGTTCCCTTTTAGCTGAAAATGAAATGAAACGCTCGCCATGGACTGCGGATTGAGGATTGTGGATTGGACTGGAGCAATTTGGTTTATATCTTTTATGGGCCAACACAAACAATTCGCACGTAAAAGCAATAAAGTGTGCACATGATTTGGCCCTTTTGTGAAGGTAAATGCAGAGCAGTGGCAAAATAAAATAGAGCCACTTGGCGGCAACAGCTACAACTGAGGCCAGGACACGTGCCTGGAGCCAGGCAAAGCCGAGACGATAACGAGCAGTGGCGGGGGGCGCAGGATGCGGATGAGTGCGATATCATTTCAAATTGTTTTCAATCAAATGCGACTTGCATCTGTAATTTGTATGCAAACGAGTTGGCGACGATGTCGTGCTCGTCGTCGTCCTCGTCGTTGGCGCATTGACTGATTTGTGATTGACAGGCTCTGACTGGAATCCGTGTGTAAATGTCGTGGGAAAACGCTGATGCAAGTACAAAATAAGGAGCCATGCCTAAAATCTCAATGTGTTGGGATACTTGCGAAACTGGTTTCGACATTGATCAGGTCTTCACACACAATTCCGCCACACGGAATTCATTTTAAAAATTATACTTATTTGTCATACATATTAAAAACCACAAGAGCATTAGTCCATCGAATGAAAATAAAACTAAAGCTTCCAGCTCATTTTACACTCCTATTATGCGGTCAGGCCTTTCAAGCAGACATTTTCTGCGAAACGATTAAGAATCTGGACAAAGATATAGTTGCCCGATAGTCGCATTCCGCTCAAGAGAGCTGTCACTGTAGTTCTGTAGCCAATGAATTATATGGTTACGCTTAGAACAAATATCTCACACTTTATTATTGAGTTCAAGATTTGCCTCGGATCAAATGCATTCTATGCGACTTAATATTTCCAGCACTGTTTTAAAGGTTCCTCTGCGGTTTATAGTCCCTAGTAAAGTTCATGTAAATAAGCACTAATAAAATTAATTATAATTAAGGTATAAGCTTAGTTACCGAACTGCAATCACATCTTTTATGCAACACTTTTGGAAGTGACGCAAAAAATAGTTAATATTAGTTTGATCCTCGCATCCCCCCATGCAGTTGCAGCAGTACATATTGCACCAGCCGTTGCCACAACAGCGTTTCTTTCCACACGGCTGGTAAGCACATACGTCGTCTTTTGCGAATGCACCCGGAATATTTTCGCATGCGTAATCTGTTTTAGGCATAAAAGTCAACTCCTTTGACGGGCAGCAATCCTTCCGATACCAATTTGCGTCTGCCGCTTCCGACACAATAAAGAGCAGCTCTAGTGGTAATACCAACATCCAAACTTTGCTCATCACAGCTTTTTGAAAAAATTACTTCGGAAGGAATTTGGAGCGATTACTGCGATTAGTAAGAAAAGCAAATTCTTTTTGCACCAATCGACTTTTATATTGAAGCAGCGCTCTGTGACGGGCAAATAATTAAATTATTTTTTTTTTTACATAGAGACACTTCATGGTGCCTGTTGCAAATGGCCAATATTATCATAGTGGATACTTTGGAAGATACTCTGTATTCAGCGCTGTGCTGAGAAGACATGCATTCGAAGTTCCTTTTATTAAAAATAAAAAAAAAAAAAACGGAAAACAAACTTTTCGTAAAATAATGAAAAGTACCAAACTCAAAGAGCGGTAAGTTGGAAAGGTTTTTTTCTCCTTTTTCTTTTGTTGTGAGTTCTAGAAAGATTAGTTTGTAATTTCAGGATTGGCACTTAATACGAGCTCAAAATATAGTAAGAGTTCAGAATACCGAAAATGATTTTAAATGTTCCCTGTTAAAATCAGTTAATGCGCTTTTAGCATTAAAATGAAGTCGTCAATTTGACGCCTAATCATGTCGTCACCTTTATTTTGGCTAAAGGTAACGACATGATTATTTTCAAAGTCTTACACCGTTTTAATAATATACTATTTACTTGTTATAAGAATATAATTAGTAATTCCCAGCATGAAGCCATTATTAATTATATTTTTTAAGCATTCATATTAAATCTTTTTATATTTGGCTTTGAGTATAACTCACACCCGACATCGATCGTTTTATTATGGTTTGGTTGCCAGTGTTATCTGTTAAGACGTTTAAGTCCATAATATCGATTAAGAGGGACAATAAGGATTGAAAATATCGATGCCAGAGATGATCGATATTGACAGCTTTAGTACTGGGTATCATCTACTAGGGCACCTCTGACAAGAGAACTCGCAGTGCATTTATAAATAAGTTTACATGAAAAGCTTGTACAGTCGCAAGGGGCACCATGGATTCGCAGTACATTAATACAGTTGATTAAGTTAAGCGTGACCGTCACACAACACAGCTCCATTACAGGTCATAATTGTGTCAAGCAAAACTTTGTTTTATTTTGAAATATACGCCACAGCTCTTTTTGAGGGAACTCTTTTTATTAAGAAATTATGTCTTATACGTGGCTGCTGGTAATATTATGCCAGCTGCTGTTTCTAGCAGTGTCGTCGGGAAATAAACCGGGTTGCTGCCCCAAGATAGAGCTGAAATATATCCCATTGTCTGGTCACCCGTGCGAATATTATCCGAATGTCATCCCATCAGGCCATGTATGCCTTCACTTACCGTGTGGTAAGCGTAACCGCTGTTGCGGAAAAAGCACCTGCGATAGACGTTGCTGCAATTGCGAGATTGGATGCAAATATAGAAAAACATGAATAAATACTTTATAGAGTACTCTAGAAGTATGACTTGCTTTGTGTTAAATCCAATAATATTTAGTGAAATAAATTGAATGATCTACGAAATAATGCAATTATGATATACCGTTCGATACTAAATAAATATACTTACTATACTAAATTAATAATAATTGCAATTGGATTTGTAATCAATATAAAAGAAAGATTTTGACTGACTGACTGCATCAAATTCCTTTGACTGACTGACAGCATCAATTGTACACAAAAACGGGATATAAGAATATAAAGTTGATGCGCAAGAGCCACGGGTTTATACCCTGATACATTAAAAATGGGTATATTGTATTTGTACAAAATGTAAATGTATGTAACAGGCAGAAGGAAGCATCTCCGACCCCATAAAGTAAACATATTCTTGATCAGCCATGTCTGTCTGTCTGTCTGTCCGGCTGTCCGGCTGTCCGTCTGTCCGTTCGTCCGTCCGTATGTATGAACGCAAGGATATCAGAACCTATAAGAGCTAGAGACTGGAAATTTTAGATGGGGTCCTCCTTGTGCCTGCGCAGATCCAGTTTGTTTCCGATAATCGATAACTTGCCCGTTTCCAAGTAATCGATAAACATCTGTATCGAAATCCTGTTGTTTGGGCAATTTTGGTAAATAATAAGAGCTAGATTCACCAAACTTAACATGTAGCTTCTAGAATAGGATATATATTTGCATTTGATGCTGGAAGAAGAGGGTTCAGGGTATCCCCTAGCCGGGAGCTCCCGACTAGAACCTCTTACTTGTTACAATCTAAAGAGGACACGCGGAAAATCGTTATATTGAAAGTTTTTACTTACCATCTGAACGGCGTATAATACATTTTCGAAAATATTTGTATGAGCGCATATGAAATTGAAATATTCATCTATCTGAACAGAATATTTGTGGAGAGATATCCCATGACAGATGTATTTCTAATAGGACCCTCAATGTTTTTTTTGGCTTAGATATTCTGGAAATAGTACTGGAAAGTAAGAAAGTAAATTTAGGTACGTTTGGTTACCCAAAATTATTAAGGAAGATTTCACTTATTTGGAAATGTACATCCCTCTACTGGCATCGGAATTCTTTGAATTCGCCTTTCCCGCAGCAGCCATTATGTTTTATAATCAAAATCTTATCAACATTGAACCACTATATCATATAGGAAAGATTGGTAGTTATATAGCAAAATATTCTGGTTTCAAAGATATTTTAAAGAAACTCAACAGTTTCGAGCTGCACTATTCTCAGGTATCTGCACAAGGGAAATGTCTACAGGGGTATTAAATCTTCGGCGTGCCGAAGTTCGCAGAGAGGTTTCGTGGTCGCAAACGGGTTTCTTGTTTTTATGGTGTGCGTCAAATACAGAACATTTCCTCAATGATTGGGGAATTGTAAATATTCATCGCCTATAGATGCTTTTTACACTTTCCATTTGATTCTATATAAAATATAGAAATTTAATAGGGAATATTTCATAATTATATATATGGCATTGTGTGTGCATGTGTGTGTATGTTCATTCAATAATGTTAATTAAATTATAATGAGCGTGTTAATTACTTAATGAAGCGAATTACTGAAACTTTTGCTGCTGTGCATGTGTCAGTTGCACCCTCAGTCGATTGTGCATTGACAGACTCAAAGGAATTCTTACGCAGTCCGCACCCGCCGCCTGCCTCCTGTCGCCCACAGTCACAGTTGATAAGCGGGCAACGAATTTCCGGTTTGAAACTAACTAGAGGACCACAGGCCGGTATTTAAAGCCTTATTGTAAAAGATGGAAACTTATTTTTTCTAGCATAGAATAAGCCCTACCTCTGGTATTGCCACCGGCAATTTCGATTAGTTGAAAGAACACGGCTGTACAAGACTTTATGTATACAATACGATCAATGATTTAATGAAAAACCTTTCGTTTAAGAATAATATGATATTCTATAGAACTTTTTAACATTAGTAAAAAAAAATGTCGCACTTTGTGCTACAATTTAAGATTATTCTCCTTAGGATTATAAAAAGCTAAAGTGTGCGTAAAATTGCATTAATGTTATTACCAACAAAAAAAAGGAAACGGAAAAAAGGGACACTTTGCGTTGAAGGCTTAATTTCAGCTATTACTTGGAGTTTGGGAGGACGAATAGCTTCTATCCTTGTTGCGGTTTTAAGGACAAAGTCAAATGTACTTAAAACAAAAACTGTCCTTTCACTTTTGCCATTGCCTCTATACATCTTACCTATACACTGAGAAAACAGAAATGAGTATTAAAGACCACCCAACTTTACTAATTCTTGCTCATGTAAATTGTGAATTCAGCATCAATTTTCAATTATAAAGGAAAATGTATTTAATTAAAAGAAGAAATAATCGAAAACATATAAAGAATTTTTAAGCATTTAAGCATTAGGCATGAAGTTAAATTTAAAAACTTTTGTTTTTAAACCTTTTTATATTTAAAATGTTTTTTTTTTTTATTTATAATGTATATTCTATGTCATCATCAAAACCCGATTCCTAACGCTCTTGCAGTTTAATTTTATTTGAAATATTGCCTCATTTCATGAAATCGATAAGTATCGATTTTCAGAAGAGGTCTGGAGCATAACGAGGAGGTTATTAGCACTAGAGATTCCGATTGGAGAATTTTTTTCCATAAAATATAGGAATATTCTGAATTCTAAACTTTGGGTTTCCTACCTAGGGACTTTTGAGTGTGTGTGTATAAGACGAAATTCGAATATTTTTAAGGTCGCGTCATTCTGGATACGGGGCATCTCTAAGCTTAACTCTGATGTTTACAAAAAATAACGAAGGCATTCCTTAAAAAAAATTTGACTGTTTCTTGGAATCTTTAAAATGTTCGCTTAGTATCCTGCCAAAAAATAGCATCCATAACTCAAGGACTCGCGCCCAGACGTTTGCTTGCTAAAGTAAACACAGATAACTGTTTATCAGCGCCAGTTCCACCTGCTGCTACGTGCCATACTCAAAGCTAAGGCTCGTACCGTTCTCCATTACCAGCTTTAGATTACATGTGTAGTCACACACGCACACACACACACACATACAAGCACACACATACAAGCACACACAGACGCAGAGACTGGGAAAGAGCGAGAAGGTGCGAGTCGAAGTGCTCTTGGCCGAAATCTACTCGCACTTTTGTTGATTTAGTTTGCCACTTGTTGCAGGCTAACAAATTGTTATCCTTTATTTATGGCGGATTTTTACCGCCTGCCCGCCGTGCGTTCCCTTGCAAAGCTTTGCCCAAAATGTCGCAACAAAGGCGCTAAGCGCATTAGTCGACTTCACTCGAGTGTGGACCGTGTGAGCCTCGGGCTAATTTATTGAAAGTGTGCCGAGTGCGGTGACAATGCGCTAATGTGCGGCATAAAGCACATAAATCTCACTTGTTACTGCATTGACCAACTCGTGCAAGTGCTTTCCTTAAGGACATGTGACTAAATCAGCACTTTTTACTTGTTAGCTGTCTCACATATATATATATAAATATATATATATATACACTTAAACGTTCGTGAAGCCCTCGAAGCTGATTATACGATTCATCTTAAGTAAAATTAGTTAAAAAAATTGTTCATTTATATATTAAGGCGAGCTTTCAACAGTTCTTAAACCTTTTGCACTATGATAGTCAATAATAGTTTTACACTCTGTTGACAAACATTAGAGGGTATCATAATATAGTTGGCTGGCTCGAGGTCCGGGTTTTTTATTGAATTTTGCTTACAATATATATTCGGTTGCACATCGGCAAACCGATTGATTATTTCGTCTGCTATTCCTCTGTCTGCCGAATTCATGCCTCCTAATATATTGTAGCTGCAGTCTGTTTCAGCTGAAACTCATGGATAACTTTTTGAGCGACAATTATGAATTGTGTGGTTCATTGAGTTCATTGCAACTGCAAGCTTGCCTCAACGCAGGACCTTTGCAACGTTTCGCTTAACGTGTGGCAAATGTGGCACGCACATCTAGTTAGATACATTTATACAACTGTATAATTTCATGGCAATTGGATTTCAAACTGGCAACGCACGGGATCAAAATATAAACGAGCAACGTGGCGTATACGCGATTCGAGTCAAACGAAGCGTTGTCGACGTTTAGCTGGTGCGAGTGCCTGGAATGCTGTAGACACGGCGATGAGAATCAGAGAGAGAGAGAGAGAGAGAGAAAAAGAGAATGAGTCAAAGAGAGCGGAACATGCAAACATCGTTTCGTACTGACGCTCGCACAAAGGTGCAACAGACAAATACTAATGAGGATGCAACAGCAGCAGCAGCAGCAGACAAA